ACCTTTCTCTTCTTCTTCTTCTTCTTCTTCTTCTTCTTCTTCTTCTTCTTCTTCTTAGCAGGAGGAGACAGGAGGATGAAACAACTGGCATTTCCCCTCTTTGTGAATACAGTGGACCCTCTACTTACAGAATCAATCCGTATTGGAACAGTGGCTGCAGGTTGAAAAGTCTGTAGGTCGAGTCTCCATTGACCTACAATGTATTGAAAACCGATTAATCCCATAACCGGCCGTTTTTGTTCCATTTTTGTTCCATTTTGGTTTTTTTTCTGGTCTGTAGGTCGATTCTCAGGCTGCAAGTCGAACCTAAATATTGCGGCCAGAGACATCTGTAATTCAAAAAGTCTGTAAGTCGAGCCGTCTGTAAGTCGAGGGTCCACTGTATCCTTAAAGGCTGGACTGAGAACCTGCCCACAACTGAATCTGCTACTAGCTGGCACTCAGTGGTAGATTTGGCTGCAGGCAGGTTCTCAACTGGACCTTTAGGAAAAGTCACAAGAAAATAAAAAAATATGCTCCCGTTACTTCCTCTTGTCCCTGCTTCCAGGAGGAAGTTTTCAAATAATAATAAAAAATAAATAGCACAGCACCTCAGCAGTGCCCTAATACAGTGTAAAAACAAATTAACATCCTTGGTCTCTGCACAGAACAGAGGAAGTGTTTACTTTGCTATCTTCTTAAGCTACTCCATGATATGGAAAATTGACAGCAGCAGGCAATTTGTCAGCTGTCAACTGGGTGGTTTCCAGTGATCACACATGTTGAAAACAAACCAAAATGGAGCGATACTACTCATATCAAAAAAAGTAGAAGTCCCTGACAGGGACCCAAAAAGGTGCAGGTAGGAACACCCTGGGGTTAGGCTGGTTTGTTCTAGCAATTACATCATATGATCACCAGAAAAAGGAGTGAACCATCCGTCCCTGCAGGGAACCAAATAGCAGGCTAAATGCCCATCTGATTGCACCTTTGGGTACATAGAGGGAAACAAATACTCTGTCTGGGTGACCTCCTAGACAGCTGGCTAATATCTTCATATCATATTTGTAGGGATTAGGTATGAAGAATGCTTGTTTTGGTCTGATGAAATCATAAGCCTTATTTAGGTATTTTGTATACGTGGCTACCAAGACCTGAAGGGACCAGCAGGAATGTGCACAGCTGGCTTTAACCTATATCAGCTATGCTTTGAACTGACACTTGATCGGCTTCATTCTGAAGTTGGGCACTTATGCAAGGTGTTGTGGGGTTAAGGAAAACTGCACACATTCTTGTTGGCACCCTCATGTGTTGGGCACCAAATGTGCACGCCGATGGGTGGGACCAGAGGGATCTCCCTATCGATGTGGGTCTTTGCGACCTTTCCTGGATGCCCACGCGACATCACAAGGTTGTTCACGAGAATGGCCGAGGGGCGTGGAAAATCAGAGAGCATTTAAGGGGATGCACCCCTATTGTCTGCCTCCGACCATGTTTAGCTGGCCAAGAGCTGTTTCTCACTTCCAACAAGATGCCTCAACTACATATTTACCCTTCTACAAAGTGCTAGGCTTGCAGTTAGAAAGTGATAAAAATTATTCCTCTGGGGACACAATCCTACACAACAGCAATGTCTGCACATTCAGTTGCATAGGTTGCATAAAGCCTGTTGTTTCCCTCCCAGTGCCCAATCACCAACAAAATCAAGCTCATTTGCAGCTTCCAGTACAGCAGAAACCATGTGGTAGGATAAAAAAATGTTCTTTACCTCTTAGGGAAGCTCTACCTCCAACTGTGAAGCTGCTGTCTCATACAATTTGGTCCTCAGATATCCTTTCCGTTTAAATTGAGGATTTAGATTACAGCTAGTGCTTCATGAAAAAGGATTACTAAATCTTCATACTAGTATGGCTAGCTTAGGGCCTTTTACTGTAGGCAACCCTGCTCCTTTAATGGCTTCACACCTTAGTTCAGAATCCATCTGAGCAAATAAAAGAGAATGAGCTTCCTTTTCTTGTACTTCATGACTTGTTTACTTGCAGTGAATATCTGAATGTTTGTCTAGCTGGAATCCCAGTGTGGTTTCCCAACTGAGAACATCATGCAAGCAAGCATGCTTTAATGCTCTACACACATCATGTTCTCATCACCAGCACTGAGCAGAGTCTGTTGCTTAGGACACATATGGAGCAATAAAAAGGCTTTCTGTGCAACTGAAGTTCAGAAATGAAAGATAAATTGAATGAAATTGATTGAGAAAGATTTCCTAGAATGAAGCGAAGTCTCACAGGGCCAACAATCTTCACAAATCAAAAGACAACCAGATATAATTGATTTGCTTTGATTCAAGTGCACTTGGTTTGCATTTGCCAGAAAGGAAGAGACCACACATGTGTACACATTGTGGCTTGCTTAGGCTAAAATTAAGAACATAATATTTTTATACTTTTATGAAACGATAATCTGGTTATGAAGTGTTCTTCTTCAGCTATTAAAAAACAGGGCCACCGGAATTAGCTCAGTGTGTTTAATATTGAGCAGTCTCATTCGCTGTTATGTGTCACCAAGTTGGAACCTATTAACAACCCTAATAGGCCTAATAGGGCTTTCAAGGTAAGTGATATATTTGTGGAGTGCTTTTACCAGTTCCACTCCCCCAGTGAGTTTCCATAGCCATAGTGTGGATTTGAACCCTGTTGTCCAGAGTTCTAGTCAATCATCCTATCCACTAACCACACTGGGTATCCTACACACTGGCTATACCAGTGTGGTGCAATGGAGAGTAGTCCCATTGGTGGTGTAGCAGTGTAGTCTTATTTAAGGCTAAGTAAATTCTATGGATATGCCAACCTAGCAGTTCGAAAGCATGTAAATGCAAGTAGATAAATAAGTACCACCATGGTGGGAAGGTAACAGTGTTCCCTGTCGAATCTTGCTGGCTATGTGACCACAGAAACTGTCTATGGACAAATGCTGGCTCTGTGGCTTGGAAATGGGGATGAGCACAGCCCCCTAGAGTCGGACACGACTGGACAATCGTCAAGGGGAACCTTTACCTTTAAATTCTATTGATATGCAAATGGCTTTTGGCTTGATTTGGAAGGGGGATTGGTAAACATAACTATTTTTCTTGAAAAAACAAACAAACCTGAAAATAGCCTCGTCTACCACTAATACCAGTTCCAAAATCAGGCCAGCCCCACCAGTGCCTTTCTCTCTCCTTATCAGGGGCTATAGCGAGGGTGAGATCATTCTGTTTTGGTTCCGTTCCAGGGTGTGTGATTGCTAGGATTGAACCAAAGTGCTTGGATGGCTGTCCTTTTCGGAAAACTGCTTAGTTGGAAACTTTTGCTGGGCTCTCCTTTGGAGGGCTGGGCAAGGGAGACATTACACATTTCTTTTTAATAGCTGCTATGGTTTTATTAATGCTTTGAAAAGGTGTTTTTTTAAGAGTCCTGTCATAGCATCTCTGATTTGCTGTATCAGCATTGCTAAATTTCCCCTCCCTTCTCCCTATCATAAAGAAATATGTCTTGCATCAAAGTAGCCTGGTGGATTTTCAGGAAAATATTTAAATGAAATCAGCGAAGTTTTCAAATTAGATGTAACCATGGAAGCCACTGACATACATTAACCATTAGTTGCCCTGCTACTGCATGACATAAATATTCCCTGGCCTGCTGTTTCCTCACAGCTAAAAGGTCTAGGAACTGCCTTCTCTATCTCCCATTTCAAACCTGTTCTTGACTTAAGGTGATAATATTTCTAGCAATGTGACTGTTATGAGAAAGGTTTGCTCTTTCAGCCCACAAAACAGCTACCCTGGATGCTGTTCACTGCTGTGTGAAAGCTACCACTGGTGTTGGGGACAGCTTGCCTGCATAGAGTAGTCTAGGAAAGAAGGAAGAAAAATGTGTGTATAATTCCGTGAGAAGCACAGCTGCAGAACCAGGGTCCAGGTGTCTGGGGACCCTCAGCATGCTCTCCTCCTACTGTGTGCTCTCCTTGTGATGCTAATAGAGTCCTTACATTGTGCTTTGCAGGTAAGGGTCACAGCTTTGTTTATTAGCTTCTGTAATGATCAACAAAAATCTGGAGTGGATTTTCCACCTCTGCCACATTGTGTTACCACGCCTCTGCTGGGAAGACCTTAGAAAAATCAGTTCTTTAGACACCAACTCCCAGAATCCGTAGTTATTGGGAGGGTTTCGGGGTTGTTTCCCAGAAATCTAACTTTTCCAAGCTCTGGGAGGGAGCATTCCTAAGAAGTCCAGGCATTTGAAGAAGATACGACAACGGCAGGTGGTCTGAAAGGGAGTGAAACAGAATGAGAGAAAAACAGAGGGCTGAGAATTCCCATCCAGTGACAATTGAAACCGGGAGGCAGTTCAAGACTATTCAGTTTGCTTCCTCCAGGCTATCCCTGACCAAAAGTCCTTGCTTGCTTCTGCTCTTTTTCTGTATGTATTTCTCTAGATACAATATAAGCTTCTGAGAGATGCAGCCTCACAAACAAATTTTTCCAAGCTCTGGTCATATCACATGATCACATATGTGGCAGTTCATAGAATGTACCATACACTATTTGTTTGTTTGTTTTGCTTTTCTTATGGCAAACTATTTAATGTGAACGGGGGTGGGTGGAGAGAAACTATGTTCCCCAATGGGTTCTATTTGGCTTGCATGGTTATCCTTTCTGTCCAAACATAGAGTAATGTCCTGTATTTTTTAATCCAGCACTCTAGGGAAGATTATTATAAACTCTAAAGCCTAAAAGAAGATTGTAGGCATATTACCCTCATACCAGCTAAAATTTCTGCAAACAAAGCTCAAGAGTACATTGTAGAGACAAACATCTTTAGGCTAAAAAGGTGATATGTACAGTCATATAATTCCTGATAAAAAACTCTTCAAGAAAAAAAGCCCAGTTGTCACAAAAAGGAGAAAATGGTGACCAGCTTTGGAAACAAGTAGGAAAACTTAACAATCTTCCAGACTCACTGAAAAGGTACCATACTCACCCGGTACTCCATCATGGATCCAATAATTGATGTCTGTTCCTTCACCATTTTCATAGACTTTGGTAACATTGATGGGCTTCAGCAGTTTCATGACCTCCTTTATGATACTACGAGCACTATTACTTCCTGTGAAAGCCAGACCAGTAGGCATGAATGTTCCCTCGTCAGACTCCATAACAATGTCGAAGTTGGAGATGTTCTCCTGAAAAATATAAAGTGACTTCAGATTTATAGCAGGGATGGGGAAATCTGTCAGTTTCCTCCTACATTGTTTTTACACCTGCTGGATAGCTCAGTGGTTTAGCTCTCTCACCATGGAGCCAGAGTTTGGGAGTTTGATTCGCCACTGTGCCTCCTTGATAGGGGCTAGACTCAATTATCCTTAGTGTCCCTTCCAGTTCTGTAGTTCTAAGATTCTTAGATAAGCCTTGAATTCTTTCCATCGGAGACAAGGAAATGGGTCAAAGCCAATGCTTGCATCTATCTCAGGGAACTTCAGCGGTAACATGGTAGTCATTTTCATTAAATGTCCATGTCTTTGCTTTCTGTTTCTCCTCCTCACAATCCACCTCCACTTCAACTTTGAAGTGTCACACACATTTTCAAACTCAACATGTAAATCATTATGCAATGATCCTTCAACTAAGCGCACATTTCAGGATTATTACAACATACTCGGTCCCCAATCTAAAAATGTTTCAGAAATGTATATTGGGAGGGGAGAATAACTGGTTTATTTTAAACTGTTTGAAGTTGCATGCTTAAATAATCTTTGATTAATGTTGTGCCCATAATGTTTAATCTTTGTAATGTTGTGCCCATTTTATTTGTTTTATTTTTAACTGCCTTGATTCCCCTCCTGGGAAGAAATGAAAGAAGTAGATTATAGTAAAGAAAACCTCTTGCTAAAGAAAAAGTATCTATGGTGTAAGATTCCATACAAAAATACATGTATTACCCAAAAATGCAATTAATAAAATGCATTCATATTTTTGTGCAGACTCTTTTTTAAAAATTGCATATTGTGGAAATGAGATGGAAAGAACTTAAGATGGGGGTGAGGAGAAGAAACTGGGACAATCCATCAAAGATTGATTCTCCATCTCTACCAACGACTAATGTCCAAACCACTAATTAAACTCAGAAGAATTTAAGTCTGTTGGGTTGTTCAGTATAAGGAACCCCAATTAAGAAGCCTGCAAAAATAACATGTGCTAGTGGCACGCATGTGCCTCTGGTGTGTACAAAAAGGGTGCAAACTCTGGAGTGCTTCATTGGGGAAAATATTTTTTCTATAGGAAATGTTTTGAAGACTGCATCAGATAAATTAAAACCTATCTAGATCAGGTCTCTTTGCCATTTCAGGCCATGCACAATATTCCTGTCACTGCTGATTAAACCAACAATGAGGTATAATTATGTACTTAGCGCATAGCTCTTCTGAGTTCTGTACAAACATTAATTAAATCAGCCTTGCAATAATATTCTGAGGCAAGTAGTTTTTACAAAAACGGAACAGCTTCATCATGGAAGTACAGGGTCTGTTGCAATCTGTAGACCCCTTGAGAGGGCATTTTCAAGTCTCAGCTTAGGTGTTTCATTTTCTTTCTTACTTTTCCTTCTGACCACCCAAGCAGTTAGATTTCATTGCACAAAGGAAGGAACACAACAAGCTATTCTGTGTCATAGCCATACAGTTAGACCAAGCACAGGAATCCCAGAGCCCCTCTACCTTACAGGCCCAAAGAGGTCTTTACCCTAAAATTTGCTAAGGTGTGATAATGAGGGTATGAATCTACCATCAACAACCTGCCATTACAGCAATTCTTGGTAATGGTCTTTTTGGAAGCATGGAGGGGGGCTTGGGCAGAGAGAAACACTGAATGTGACTTTATGCCTAATCCGAAGTCCCACTGACGTTCTTGCAAAATCCAAATGGCTACCTCTGTGCCAGTGACGGCCAACTTGCAACATTTCAGATGTTGGTAGTCTGCAACCCCCATCAGAATTAGCCCACACAATCAATGGTGAGAGATGGCAGGAATGCAATCCAGTTTTGGAGAGGCACCTGCTGACAATGATGTAGGTTCACTAGTGATTCATTCCATGAAGGAGCTAAATACACTTCCTCCAAAATGATTCTAGAAAGTTACATTGATGTAACATATTCTAACCACTCAGCTCTCAAAACTGCCATAACAACTGTGTTTTGTACCAGGTAAGGTTTCTAGATAATCCAGAATCTGGCATTACACAAAACGCATTAGAGTAGTTTTGGATGTGTCCAGTTAATGAGTAACCAGTCATGGACACAGCTGGAACCTCTGGATGGCTTCCTTGAGCAATTCCATGTAGGTGTTTAAAAGCCTGAGAGACAAGATGGGACCTTATGATCTTGCAGATCAAACATCATGCAGTCAAACAAGTGTCCCCCAGCAACACCGTTTTCTTTCCTGTCCATGCAGGAAAGAATGGAATCAATGTAAGACCATGCATCCTACACCCAACCCCTTAAGTTGACTCAGATGGACACCATGACCAGTGGTTTCTGAAAGCTGCTGACAGTTCTAGAAGAATGAATAAGGTTGCATTTCCTCTTTGTGGATCAGGAAATGAGGCATTTTCAAAGTATTGTCATGCATGGAAAATCTTGCTGTCCTTTTCATGTTGGTGTGCTGCAAACATGCTATCCTTTACTTACAATGAGGGGGAAATCACATGGAGTCCCAAAGCTAGAATATCTTCACCTAGTCAACAGGAAATGAATGCCTTTCCACAGGAATGCCACACAATCAGTAGTGGTCCTCTTCCAAAAAAGGGCGGAATTTGAAGAATCTAGGTCTGAACCGTACAGTATAATTTCTTTTTGTCTAAATGCTTGGGGTGCATTCCAGGCATGGGGGATAATATGAAGCGCATATAAACAAAGGAGCTCTATATGTAGTATACACTGGCACAACTCTTACGGGATATGACAGTCATAACTAGCCTCTGTATCAAACTGCTTTAGAGGAAGGGAAGAGTAGAAAGCATTGATCTTCTGCTTTCTTCCTCTAAAACCCATACAGTATGATTGTGCTGACAAACCTCTAGATGATTTATGAGAATCTTTGACTCACAAGGACATTAACAATAAAAACATCAGAAAGGCATTTTATTTTTAAATTAGGAAGTTCCAACCATGAGGAAGTCATGGCCTTCAGTTCCAAGTAGATTCACCCAGAAGTATAACAGTCTGGAACTGTGGGCCAGAAATATCCTGAGTCTTCCAGTTAGGCCCAGACTAAGAAGTCTTGTTGTCTGAGGCAAATGACACATTCCCCATTCCATTTACAGATTAGTAATCACATCTTACTCCAGTGCCCCCTGCCATCCTTGAAAGCAGCAGGCCGGTTTAGGGAGTGATGGAGAGGTCACGTGGCACACCTGTCTTTGTCCTCCAACAGAGAAAAATGGCTAGAGAATCGAGGAGGAAGGACTGGTGGGTGGTGGGTGGCTGGCTGCCATTGCTGTCCCCCAGCATTTGATTTTTGAAACTCACTCTGCCTGATGACAAGGTATGTCTTATTCCCATCCTTCTATGTATAAGGGAGAACTACCTACTGTAAACATGAGTACACACTTACTGAAATCCAGTAGTAAGTTGCAACTAGAGTAAGCCCATGGAATCTGTGGGAATTTGGTGAATCCACTCCTCCACAAGTTCTGCGGATTCATTAGGCCTACCCTAGATGCAACATATTGCTGGATTTTAGCCAATATGTAAATTCTATCACAAAAACCAGTCTATAGCTTTATTGAGAGAGCTATTTGGTGTAGTGGATCAAATCTTGGATTAGGATCCAAGAGGACTGGGTTCAGGTCCCTGCTCATCAAAAAAAAAAACTCATTGGGGAGGAATGGGAGTGAGGTAAACCACTTCTCAAACATCTCACATACCTTGAAAACTCTGTTTGAAAAAAAAAAAAAAAAAAAAACCTCATTGGGGAGGAACGGGAGTGAGGTAAACCACTTCTCGAACATCTCACATACCTTGAAAACTCTGTTCAAGTTACCCTGAGTTGGAAGTAAGTTGATGGGACATAACAACAACAAAGCTTTGCTAAACATGATATATGAATCTGGCACCTAGCTCTAAAGTTCTGGCTTTTCAATATATTGCACACATACAGTGTGGGAACACATTCCCTTGAAAGCAAAATGAAAACCAGAACGGAGTAAGGGCAATGAACAATGAAGACTGTTAGAAGACAGTCCGGACAAGGGGAAGGGAGCAGCAACAATGCAAGAGGAAGAAGAAAACAAATCTATGTTTCTTTCACAGCAATGGAAGAAGCAGCCAATAACCTTGCTGGGGCAATCTTAACTTAAATGAATCCTGACCCACGCTGGACTTTTATAAGCTGTTGGCAACACCAGATTCTTCAGTTGTTCAGCCATTTCTATAACTGTGCACATATGTTTCTAATATTAGGTCATGAACATGATCCATCCATAGCACATGATATGACTGCACTCCGCCTCCACCCTTCCATTCGTCATGTATTGTTGTAACCACTTAATTCTCAGCACATGTTGGGAGGCGCATCAAAACCAGAATGTTTCTGTAAAGAGAATCTAGTGTGAAAAACAAAGCTAAACAGGGTAAAGATGTGGAAATCGCTCCTTTGCCTTTTGAAAGCCATTGTTCAAGGCTTCTGTCTACCTGGCAGGATGAATAATTGCCAGGTGTGTGGGAAGATTCTCTGACCATCAGCAGTGCAGCTGGAAAATTTGAGATCTTGGATTGAATGGTCTTCTGGTGGCAGTGGTGAGGAGCTTTAGACAGGCATGTTTATTACTGCAATTGATAGGCACACAATATTCCTGTTCTCCTCTGCCTGAAAATATCATCGCATCCTTTTTGAAAAAGTGTAGTAACTCACATTTATCAAAGAGAGTTAATGTAATTTTGTATTTTAAATTCACTTAATTCATAGCACCACCGTGATCAAGAAATAAAATGGATTTTTTTCCTGTTACCTTGATATTAAATATATTTATTGGGGTGTAAGTTCTATTCTGTTGTGGAAAGAGATTGTGTGTATATGTGCAGATACATATTAATGGGTTCACACACATAATTTAATTATTTAAAAGTAATAAAATGAACATCTCTAGCTGTGTATATCTAGCTAGCTATTCTGATTATAACATTAAAAA